CCATTTCGGTTGGGGGCAAGTTCCAAACTGAGAAATTGTCAATTGAGATTCCCACACCCTCTTCCTTAAAATTTCCTGGGGCAACTCACAGAATTCAGGAAAACAAAATACTTAAATTTATTGGTTTATTATGAAGGATGTTTTAAAAGATGCAAATAGCTACACATGTAATTCTAGCTACTTGGGAAGGTAAGGCAAGAGAAGTTTGAGTTCTAGGCCAGCCTAGGCAACTTAGTAAAACCCTGTCTCAAAAACAAACCAACAAACAACAAAGAATGTAAAATAGCAAGATGAAGAGATATATAGGGTGAGATCTCGGGGGTGGGGGGTGGTTAGCACAGAAACTTCCATCCTCTGGAGTTGGGGTTTACCACCCTCTGGTACTTGAATGATTTCTTGTTTACCTTTCTGGCTCTTCAGTAGCACCCTAAACCAGTTCTTTCAGACTTTTATGCAGACTTTATTGCAAAAGCATGGTGGAAGCATATATAACTGGCTGAACACAAAGAGGGTATGACCTAGTGAAAATAAACTAAGTATGGAAACTCAATTTTGAAAGTAAATTTGTCTATTCAAGATCATAGTCTAAGGCCTTTTATAATCATTTTAAAGCTTATGATTGTGTTCACTTTTTGTTTTTATAAATTAAATGGACTCTTACTGGTTTTTCCAACAAAAGTCAGTCTTTTAGAACTAAATTTCCTTTTTTCCTGTCTTGTTTTTTTGTTTTTGTTAATGTTTATCTCCATTTTTTATTCAATATATTTTTTTCTAATTCTCATAAGTATTTTTTCTCGGTCTGTTTAGCATCATTGTTCCCTTTAATATTCTAATGAAAATTATGGATAATTTTTTAAAAAGCCATGAGCCAACATTCTTTTGTGTGTAGAGAGGGTTCCAAGATTCTAAGCTCCATGCCTTGTTCTGCATTGAAAGATCCATTTATCTCAAATTGTTAACCACTTTCCTATTGTGTCTAGAAATGAAATCAAGATGATTAATGTCCCAATAAGTAAAATATATATTAAGCAAAGACAATTTCTGCTGTCATAGAATTTTTTAAATGTCTGTGTGTTTATAATTATAAATCAGTGTATACATGTAATCATGATTGCTGCTTTCTAGTACATTCTTTTTTGTTAAAACTTTTTTCTCTACTTGTCCCATATTGAATCTTCTGTATCTTTCTCTATATTCATATTTAACTATAGAGATACATTTGCATGTTAAATTTTTTAAAAATAATTATTTTCTTTATTTGTATTTATTTTTATTACTACATGTTTACAATACATAATGATTGCATTTATTGTGGAGAGTTGGTACATGTAACACATCTTTATTCATCCTCTAACTCTCCCTTCTCTCCCTGCTCCTTCCATCTCTTGGTACCCTTCCCATTAGAAAAAGATTTCCCTGCTTCCTATTATTTACCTATTATTTTGCTCTTTATATTTTGAGTTACTCATAGAAAAGAAACCATGCAATAATTAAGCTTTCATGTCTCATTAATTTCACTTATCATTATGGTCTGGAGGTACATCCATTTACCTGTGAATGCCTCAAGTTTATCCTTGTTTATGGCAGAGTAGTACCCCATTGTGTATAAATACTATATTTCTTTTATCCATTCATCTACTGATAGACATATAGGACATTTCAGTATTTAGCTTTTATAAATTGTGCTGCTATAAACATGGGTATGCATGTATCATTGTAATATGATGACTTTACCTCTTTCAAGAAGTTACCTAAAATGGAAATAGTTGAGTCAAATGGTATTTCTATTTTCATTTTTTTGAGGAATCTCCATACTGAATTCCATAGTGGTTGTACTGGTTGACCTTCCTATCAACAATGTAGAAGGATTTCTTTTCCCCTGTAGCCTTGCCAGCATTTGTTATTATTTGATTTCTTGATGATGCCATTGTTTCTTGGGTAAGATGGAATCTCAGTGCTGTTTTAATTTGTATTTCTCTAATGGCTAGAGATGTTGAACATTTTTTCATGTATTTATTTGCACTTCTTCTGAGAAGTATCTGTTCCTTTTACTTGCCCATTTTTCATTGGGTCTTTTATTATTGAGGAGGATCTAGTTTTTTGCATTCTTTATATGTTCTAGATATTAGTCTTGTCCAAGGAACTCTGTTCACTCTGGTGTTCCTATTGCTGTGCAGAAGCTTTTGAATTTGATATGACCCTATTTGTTGATTTTAGTACCATTTCTTGTGCCATTGGCATTTTGTTCAGAAAGTCCTTGTCTATACTATGTCTTCAAGAGTTTTACTTATTTTATCTTCTAGCAGATTAACTGTTTCTGATTTAACATTTAGATCTTTGATCTATTCTGATTTTAGTTCAGAACATAGTGAGATATATGGGTCTAGACTCAATCTTCTACTTGTGGATATCTAGTTTTCCCGGCACCATTTATTAAAGAGGCTTTCTTTCCTCCAGTGTGTATGGCCCTGGGGTTCTTTCTGCTCCCTCTGTTCTGTTCCGTTGAGCCACATGTCTGTTTTTACCCGCTATGGTTAACATTTTACAGTGATTGCTTTATTGCACATCTATTTATCCTTTTAAAAAATTTTATTGGTACATTTTACGTATACAATATAATGACATTCATCATTGGGAATTTGCCTCTACATAAATAATCTATCTTGGTTCTTATTTTTCCCCCATTCCCCTGCCCTCCCTTCAACCCCTCCAACCCTCCCTCTTTACATAGACTTTGTTTCCATTTTTTTCATTTTCTCCTATAAATTTGTAAATACTGAGTAGTTTCTCTGGTGTGAAACTGAAAGTGTAAATAAGGACTAAAAAGTATAATAAATAATGTGAAATGGGAAGAAAAGGGGCTAAAGGGAAGGGAAAGTAGGAGGGGTAAGGGAAAGGAAAGGAGGGAATGGAATTCACATGTCTGTTTTTGTGCCAGCACCATGCTGTTTTTATCACTGTAGCTCTGTATCGCAGCTTCAAATCTGGGAGTGTGATGCCCCTTGCTTTGCTTTGGTTGCTCAGGATCGTTGTTTTTTGCTATATGGGTCACTTCTCATTTGATATGAATTTCAGGACTGTTTTCTCTAATTCTGTTAATATTGGTCTTAGTATTTTGATTGGGACTGTATTAAATCTATATACTATATAGGAAGTACATTGTAGCCAATTTGAATGTACTGGTTCTGCCAAATGGAACAGGATTTTCTGATGTCCTCTTCAATGTCCTTTTTCAGAGTGGTATAATTTTTGTGGTAGAGATCCTTCACTTTCTTAGTTTGGGTAATTCCCAAGTATTTAATTTTTCTTGATGATATTGTGAATGGTATTGTTTGCCTAATTTTTTTTTCTTAGTGACCCCATAATTAGTGTATAGGGGGAACACTATTGATTTTTACATGTAGATTTTGTATCCTGCTACACTATATTGAGTTTGGTTAGTTCTTGGAGTCTTTTAGTGGAAGATTTTAGGTCTTGTATATAGACAAGCATGTCATCTGCAAATTATGGTAACTTCACTTCGACTTCTTCCTTTCCTATAGATATCCTTTTTCTTTCCCTTGCCTGATTGCTCTGGTTAATGTTTTAAGGACTGTGTTGAACAGGAGTGGTGAGAGTGGACAACCATGTCTAGTTCCTGATTTTATGGGGAAAACTTTCATTTTTTCCCCATTTAATATGATGTTGGCCATTGGTTTGTCATGAATGGCTTCTTGGGGGGGGGATGAATGGCTTTTATCAGATTGAGATAAGGTCCTTCTCTACCTATTGTCTTCAGGGTTTTTTTCATGAATGGATGTTGGATTTTGTCAAAGGCTTTTTCTGTGTCTGTTGAGAGAATCATGTTAGTAAAAAATTAGATGAAATTTTTATAATACTTGTATTGAACTTTTGTTGATTAAGGTCATAAATGTATTGGCTAATATTCATTATTTTCTTCCTGTACTGTATATTTTCTGAATCTATTTTTTAATTTTGAATTGTGTTTCTTTTTATTTTTAAAAACTACACAAAGTAATCTTAAATTTTATTACATATTTTTTTGGTGATGCTGGACTTCATTCCATGGCCTTGTGCATGCTAGGCAACCGACTAACTACCACTGAGCTACAGCACTAGCCCTATGTGATAAAATTTATTTTAAAGGTCTACTTTAACAAAACTGAGGACAAATATTCCAGGCTAGAGTCTAGATTCCACATAAGAGATCCTACTCTCCGATGACACTACCTATCTAATTATAGAAATGTTTACTTGCTGATAAAAATATTCACCAATGTCACATTCATGACATTTTATTCTTTGAAGAACAGTTCTAAAACATCACACTGAGGTTGAAAAACAAAGTTTGAGGCAAGCAGATTTATGAGGATGAGTTATAATACATGTAATGCTTGTTCATTCTAAGGAATCCTGATGTTGGAGCCTATGATTACCAGTTGGCAGTAGCACCCATGTTTCCCAGAGTCGTTCATTATTTTTCTTCTGTTGGCATAGACTTCTCATTAGCTGCCTTATGCTTTTGTTGCATGATCTCAAAGTCCCTCTGCTTTCTTTGAGAAGTAGTCAAGCCATCTTCTTTTCTTTTTCTCTTGCTAATTTCTTGGGTTTTCTTCATATTCTTCTGGTGGGCAAGTTCTCGTTGATTGCCACGGGCCACGCGGACCAACCAGCAGAGGACTCAGACAAGCAGTGGCTCTCTTGCACTCCAGTGGCCACCGCCACCTATCAAGCTGGAAGGCCTAGCTGCGCAGGCCCTGGGCGGAGCAATACCTCCTCTCCCACAGCCTTCAGCCCCTCGAATTGTGTGTTTAAGCGTAGCATTAATGCATAAGACCAAATTATCAGTTTATTTAATGTTCTTTGACATTTTTGGAAATATTTTTCTTAATAAATGAAACAGCCACAGCTGAAGTAATTTTATTAATCTTGAATATACAATATATTTGTATGCTTACTCACAGATAACTTGCACATTTCCTGTCTTCTTTCTCTTGCAGAATACACTAAATATAACAAACAATAACTACTATTCTGTTGAAGTTGAAAACATCACTGCTCAAGTTCAGTTTTCAAAAACAGTTATTGGAAAGGCACGCTTAAACAACATAACTAGTATAGGTCCACTCGATATGAAACAGGTAGGTCTGTCATGAAATATTTTGGATGAGTTAAACAGATCTAAACATTTCAGTTTTGTATATCATATAACTTGAGGGAGGTGAGCTTTTCTCAAAATTTGATTTTGAAATGTGACCCATATATGTGTAAGGTGAAATCTTAGAATCAAGATTCTAAAAGGAGAGATATCCAATTCTTTTCATTTTGTGGTACAACTGAAATATTTGATGTTTTGATTCTATAACTTTTTTTTGAATTTCAGATTGATTATACAGTACCTACTGTCATAGCAGAGGAAATGAGTTATATGTTGTAAGTTCTGATTTTATTAACTTTATCATTAATAATACTGTGTAAAGAATGTTTTTCCCTTTTTAAATTTTTGCAGTCTTACTAGTTAAAAAGACCACTGTTTAGAATATTCATTCTGGCTTCTGATCTGGTTTTTTTCTTCTCTTTCTCAACATTTGTATCATTTAGATGCATGTATCCAAATTTTCTTTTATTTTTCAGAATTAGGATTATATATACCATATCACATTTTTACTTACTATGTTACAAGAAGCATATATTCTTATGTTCTTGATTTTTTATTGTAGGAGGACTAAAACTGCTAATAATGTATAATACTTTATTATTGACTTAAGTTCTGAAGCTTTAAAATTAGGTATAAATGATTAGCTGTTTTCGGGGCCGGGGATTTAGCTCAGTGGTTTCGCTGCCTGCTGCGTAAGCACAAAGACCCGAGTTTGATCCCCGGTACCAAAAAAAACCAAAAAACAAAAAATGATTAGCTCTTAATAATTATAAATTTTCATCATCTTCTGTCAAAATATATATATGGAATTTTTATTTCTAAGCCTGGATATAGAATTCCTAGGTAAACAACACGGTGTTAGCCAAAATTTTAAAAGATAAGCAAAATATAAAAGTAATTTGTAGCACGCTTTAAAACAATTCTATATCTGCAGTGATATGAATGCATAAATATTTTTAGAATAAGAATTCACGAATATATCCATCATTAGTTCAAGGATAGAAAATGCTCAGCCAACAAATGCTTCCTTATAGAATCTATAAGCTTTGACATAGAAAAATTTTAAATGTATAATGTAATAACTTGTACTTACATTTTCATTTCTTTAACAGTGATTTTTGTACACTGATATCCATTAAAGTACATAACATAGTACTCATGATGCAGTAAGTATTTTTTTGAAAAATATTTCATGTTAAAATTTCAGATTTATAATATTGGCTTATAATATACACAGCATTTTTACAAATACTACTTCAGTTGGACTTTAAGCCTTACAAGAATGCTATAAACTGAGTAAATATTATCCCATTTAACAAACTAGAAAATGGATGCTCAGAGTAGTACAATCTTAACAAGAATAAGGAGAATTGGCTTATAAAGGGTGTATTATTTAAGCCAATAAAAGATTGTTTGTTACAAATGTGGTATTTTGCCCATTAGAGTTTACATCTGATTAACCCTTTTCATGATGAGGGAAGTATATGATTTATTTTTAAGCATGTAATGATTTTTAAAATTTTTAAACTAAAGATAACTCTTTAAATTACATTTATTGTTTATAATTATTTGGATAGACCTTACTGAATTAGCATTTTTCTGTGTGGTGAAGATCTATCCCCTAAGCCCCATGTCCACAATATTAAGTTATCATTAATCAATCTCTCCCTGGAGAGAATTTTTATGTGTAAAAGTATTCTCACAGTAGAAAAACTTTTCACATAAGGATTAAACATTTCTGTCCATTCATTTCATTTTTAGAGTTACTGTCACTACAACATACTTTGGCCACTCTGAACAGATATCCCAGGAGAGGTACCAATATGTAGACTGTGGAAGAAACACAACTTACCAGTTGGGGCAGTCTGAATATCTAAATGTCCTTCAGCCACAACAGTAAAAATTGAAGGAGATGTAACTAGAAAAGATGAAATACATATAAATACTGTTTGAACTCTTGAGGTACTTCCTTGTAGGAGATTTTAAATTGAACAAACCTAAAGTTTACACTTTTAATTTAAGAGTTTGGTTTAAAGTATGTGGACTTGAAATTATTGCAACTTTCCATTCTGTGTTACTACTGTATTTGTACCAGGATCTTTTGCTCGAATGTAAATTTACTGATTGGTTTTCTTTTTCCCATTACATCCTCCAAAGGAAAAACTGAGACTTCTCCAATAGTATAATAAATAATTATTTAAAAGATACAGCTTCAATCCATAGCTCAATTGACAACATAACTGTAATGACATAGTCTGATTAACTTAATTTATAAATGTTTTTATAGACAATTACTGAAAGCCTATTCATGGAAGACTTTCGAAAACTAATCTTTTTTTCTGTTTTATAAATTCCCAGTATTATATTTCAACTATGTAATGTTTTAGCTTTTAGCTAAGTGTTTTTAGCTGTTAATTTGTTGAAATTCTCATTTGCATATTTTTGTCTTATTTCAAGCTATTAATTGCATAAAACTTAACAACCAGAATAATCTTCACAAAATTCCATACCTGAAAAAAATTTAAAGCTCTAAATATAATGTTTCATGTATATTTCCATAATACTTACAATTTTGTGAAATTTTTGTGTGATCTTGAAACATAACCCTTTAATGTACAATATTGTAAATAAACTGCATGGCTTTTATACAGCTATGATAAATGTCAAAGTAGTACAGATTCAAAATTAAAGCAAGTAGTTCATCAAAACAAATAAAAATGGAAAATGAAATTCAGAAACAGATTGCGAATAGGTTATTGTTTTATGCTGGACCTGGCATCAAATAGATTGGAAATGAAACATTTTTATGCTTCACTTTTTTCATGTTGCTTTCATATTAAAAATTGTTTTGACATTTTTCACAACTGTTACATGCTCAATCAGTTTTATGAATGTTTTAGGAGAAAATTATTTCTTTGATAGAAATTATACAGAAATTCCCACTATTAAATCATGGTGACTGTATTTTTAAAACCTATATTGTGCTTTTAAAAATTTAATCACGTTGTATATCACATAACTATGATGTCTGTAGCAGTTAAATTTTTAAAGGTTTCTACTTTTGGTTTTATTTAAAATTATTCTCAAATGTAAGTTACTGACTCACTCAATTTTCAACCATTGTTCTCCAGTTGATCTTTTTGCCTTTCCACTTAACAAATTCTAAGAACCTTTTACATACATACTACTAAGCATAGGACCTAAGTGTGATACCAAAAAAAAAAGTGGATCGAGGTTAATTTCTTTCTGTTCCCAGGTGACAGAAATCTGGTCTCCCTTCCTCTACCCCTAAGTGCCTGACTTAGTCAAACATAGCCTGTTCTCTCAATTGTAAAACATAAATTTTAATGGTTTAATTTTGATATTTAAACACTCAGGTATCCAATTAATTTTCGTACCATTTTTTCCAAATTTTCCTGAGTGAAAATTACAAATGAATGGAATGTGCTCTTTTTAAATTGCTTAATTTTTCCTTAACCCATGGCCAATTTGGCCATCCTTACCATTAAATCCAGATCTCTCCTTTAAATTCATTAGGATGTGCTAATCACACCCAATATTTGTTTTCAGCTTTCTTCTGCCATGTTTTCTGATTACTCCTATTCTTCCTGCAACTGCACACTTCTTTGATATGTTATGTATTTTTCAAATAGATTTCATTTTTCCTCATTCCCTCATTTTGATATGAATTACATGTATGAATAATTTAAGTCCCCCTTTTTCTCAAAATTTCTAAACCTGTGACTTAAAAATTGTTTTTTAAATTTTTATTAGTACCTATTCACAGTACATAATGATTGCAGTCATGTAGGAAGTTGGTAGATGCATATAACACATCTTAATTCTTTTTACTTTCTCTTACTCTCCTCTCCCTCCATCTCTGGTCCTCTTCCCATTTGCAAAAGATCTATCTCCCTGTTTCCTATTATCTTTTATTTCACTTTTTCAATTATATGTACTTAGGGTTCCTATGACTTAATCACTAATATCTACAAGTATCTACAGTAGAGCTTTCAAATCTATTTCTCCATACCTGACACTTACCTGTGTATTTTCATGTTTATAAATGGGAGATGCAGTATTTCAGTAACTCTCTATGTGAAAAGCCAAAAATACTAAAGAAATTTTATTCTGTTTGATTCCTCCCTTTACTTCATGTCCCATTAACATCAAAATAGCATTTTTTCAGAATCATCCTTTACATAAGCCTCATATGATAATCAGTACTTATTTTCCTGCTTTGTGCAGTTTACTCTTGGCAGATTACATAGTGTAAATTGAAAAGTTTTCTGATGGATTGTGGCCTGTATGTCCTTTTACAGTACATGCATGCATAGTATCTCCTAAAGAAGCAGGAAACACTTGTCTTTAGTGACTTAGTCTCTCTTTATCATTCTTTAAAATGAAAACTTTGTTACATCTAGTTTCAAAAAGTTTGAGTCAGAAAAAACTAGAATTTTGAACAAGTAAAAGACCAACGAAAAGAAATAAAGATTTTCTGTGACTACTTTCAGAGGTAATTAAGTAACTACCAGAATAAGCCTAGAACAAAACAGGCTATAATTAATAAAACTATAAAAACACATTTTGGAGAAGTAAATGTACAGCCAAAAAAATCTGGAAAGAATAAATGAAGTTTTTCTTATGTGTCCAGTGTGGTTTCGTACATGAGACTAGGATAGGTATTTATTTTTATAGCTAATATTAGATCTTATCCAGGGACATAATAACAATATTACAATATTTTTCTGATGCTTTCATCTTTTTTTTTTTTGGTAGCGGGAGATCAAACTTGGGTCCTTGTGCTTGCGAAGCAGGCAGCGGAACCACTGAGCTAAATCCCTGGCCCCTGATGTTTTCGTCTTAATAGCCTGGTCATTCTAACAAAATTCAACACTTTAACAAGCCTCTGTGTGTTGTTATTATTTATATAGCAAATTGGCCATTTTATAGCTCTTTCACATGTTTTTCTTACATTATTTCTCAAAGAAAGGGTTGTAGGATCCTCATCTTCTAGGAGCAGAGGGAGAGGCATAGTGACACATAGTGACATAGTGATATGCCTTAAGATCACATATTTAGTAAACAGTTTTAATTGAGGTCCAGAACTAGTTCCTCTGTCTCTCACATCTCTTCTGTCACTTAAAATATTCATTGGAAAGTCCTCCTGACTCATGTTGGTGTGATTAAAACTTAGAGGAAAAGTTCACATAGTTAATAGTGATATCAAAACAATACTGTTGGATTCATACTTTGGTAGCTTTGAGCTGCTATTTGAAATATTTCAGATAGGGGAACATACATTTGTAGAATACTTTGCACTATAACCTACAGCTTAATTTTTCATTAAGATTTAGTACTCTGATTATTTCAATAGAGAGAAATTAATGTCAGTAAATTATAAGCAATAGAGATTATCTTGGAGATTTGAAATAACAGTATGAAATTATTAGGTACTACATAAATTCCTTGAAATTGGTAAGTGTCCCTCTTTAATTGGTATGTAACATTCAAATGACTAGTTTTATTTGTGTGGAGTTTTTCTATGTCTTTTTTGTTTGCTCAGGCAAATGAGGTAATGTTTTCTCAAAAAATTCACTAGAAGGAAGTATTCAGATCTTCTGATTTGTGGTTTGGAAGTGACAATGTAGTATAACAAAGGTAGGAGATAACTATCAAAACAAAATAGAAGTAACATATTAGGAGATTTGCATCTTTATCCTAATGAATACTATGTGGTTCTAAGCCTTGCTTTCTACAGCATGTTGTTGACTTTCCCCCATTTTGTTTGTTTTTAAAGTGCTTAGACTAAACACGATTCTAATAATAATGATCATTTCTTATTCAAGAAAGTTCTTTCAATTAAATAGTTGTTAAAAGCTGTTTTAAAATTTTTGAATGTGTCATTCTTTTTTCATATGCAATATGAATTGAATTTCAAGTTAATAGTTTATAAGTAAAAGTTTACTTACCATAATGTCATCAGGTAATGACTTTTAGCTCACAATGTCTAGAAGCAGCTACTACTAAGAATAATTCATTTTACTTCTCTTTTTTGTAAGATCAGATTTTAAATGAGATGTTTATCTTAAACTATTTTATTTTAAGGAAAAATTATGTTTTTGAGTTGGGGTAAAAAGACTGTTAAACATTATTCTTAAAATTCTTATTTTTACATTATAACAAAATATATTTGTGATGCACTTGTATCAAAAATGTAACTTCTACATACCAGATCTAATATCAAAGTAAAACTTTTCACTTGTCAGCTGAAATTTCTAATTAGAATTTCCATTTGTGTGTATTTCTGTGTCTGCTTAGAAAACCAATTTCATACTGGATTTTTAAAATTCTTAATTTGGATATAGTGGAGTGATTCAAAGTTACTATAGGGATAAAAATGATACTTTCCATGTTTTTAAATGTTTATAGTTCTTTTTTAAACATATTTAGCACAGACTAAATTGAATAACATAATATAGTCTTATATTTGACCTAACAATCTCATATGTTAATTTAACAGATATATGGCACGTTTTTCATAGCTAAATCTAACTCTTCTTAGAAGGACCATGTTGCCTTCTGTTTAATTACATTAATTGAAATGTGTTTAAGAGATGTTTTCAGCATATTTTGTATACTAAAAAAAAGGATTAGTATTGGGCCAGTGGCCCAAAAGGTAATATTGCTACCATGTAGACTGTTACAGTTCAAATTGTCCCACCTCCCTCCAGGATTTTTGAAATTAGAAATCTGGGAGATGCTGTATCAGCTGTAGTTGGGTGACTAAATGCTGTAAGTATTGTTCATCTTTTAATTGTTGTATGAGGCGAAACAAACACCATATTGCAAAAGATACAGAATTTCATTATGTAATGGTTGGTTGTAGACATAACAGCAAGCCATGTCTGTGTATTTTGTCTTATATTTTCTTTTAGCTCTAAACTAAAAAAAGATTTTGGAAAATTATTTGGAGCCAGGTGTGGTGGCACATGCTTGTAATCCCAGCACTTGGGAAGCTGAGGCAAGATTATGAGTTTGAGGCCAGCCTGGGCTACATATAAAGTTCAGAGTCAGCCTGGAGTACACAGCAAGTCCCTGTCTCAAAAAGAAAAAAAGATTTGGAGTGCTTGCTAATTGACATAACCCACTTGATGAGATATTTGAATAATTGTACTATTACACTCTCACCCTCAAATTATAACTGTGGAATGTAGAATGTGAAAATATATGTGGCATTTAATTTTTTGCTTGTATTATGTAGTGGCCTCCATCATGGCATATTTATTAAATTCACTAATTGAGAAATTCTGTAACTATTATTGCTATTTATATAAAAATATGCTTATGATAATAGCAAATAAATAGAAATGCCCCCAAAAGCTATTTTTTTAATTCAGTTATAACTGTCACTCCTGTATTTGTGTAAGACAAAGTTAAGTTTGTAAATATTTTAGCATGAAAAATAAAATTTGTATCTGTCAAATGTCTTGGTTATGATTTTGAAATTCCCATTACATAAACAAATCAGTGTAGATACTGAGAGTCCTTTAGCTTTAAGTTCTCAAATTGTTTAAATTAGTTTACTTTCCAACTATACAATATTGAAGGAGGCTTTCTCAGCGGGGCACATTTTTATTTTGTTTATCTAGACCTGTAGACAAAACACAGGCAGCAAGCTACTACTTTGAATTTTTTACAAACTACCAAAGTTTTAAACAGTTTTATAGGATTCAAGTTGAGCTGCAGAAACACTTAGCCAAGCCAGTTGATTGTATCCAGAATTAATTGGAACCTAGACTAGTGCAAATAACAGATGTATTCATCTGTATTTATTTTGCAAGGCTAAGTTACTTGGTGGCTGAAAAGTTGAAACATTAAAAAGCCCTGGTAACCATGTCTGTTTACTTTTTTATGACCAGTAATTAACTATTTTACATCATCATTAATGTAATCATCAGATTGTTTGGGCTTGATATTTAGAGCACTGAACAGTTTAGGATCTCATGACTAAATAAAAAAGAAACTAATGTGCACATCCTCCATGATTCAAATCTATTCATTTTGGATACCTACATCAAATTATTTGAATGGAAATTAACACCTGAACTCACAAAAGAACAAATAAAATGTGACTTTGTTTCCTTGCAGGCTAAAAATTATTAGATTTATATTAGCCATTGGTGAAAAAGTATGGAAATAGTCTTAATTGTGCACCTTGATGGTAGGAAACTATAGCCTCAGAGCAATTTATCATCATCTTTTATACACTCACAAAGACTCAGCAATCCTTTCTCTGGGGGGTTTTCTTTCTCAAATAATTTTATAAATAAATGTAAAGATGTAGATTTTAACAGACTGAAATACACTTCAGTATATGTTTTCCCGAAACTAAATTAATTTAAAAGTAAAAGTAATAGGTGTATAAAAAAGAGGAATTTACAGTAAACTACCAACTAAAGAAATCTCTGTGCAATAGAATAAAAGAAAAATTTGGTGTTAAAGAGAGAACATAGTATCTGCACGTGGGATAATACTATCTTAAGATGGAAGCAAGAGGCCACATGCCTGAAGGGGAAGTCTGGAAGCAGGTGGAACCCAAGGAGAGCTCAAGGTGATCATCCCTGGGTCAAATCATGGGAGCTGTGCCAAATGAAACAACTCCAAAACATAGTGAGCAAACAGTGATGTTTCATATGCATAAATCAATAACTGAGCAAGGTTAGTGAAAGACTGACCTCTCTCTGAAACAAAAAGATCACTCCATTGAAGATTGGAGTAAAAAGTTTAATCATCTTTAATCCGTTATGAATGAAGATACTACACATTTTTTTCAAATACTGAAATTTTATTAAAACATTATATATTAACATTACTATAATACTAATACATACTAGTATAAAGTATATGACTATATACTATTACCTAGGTAAACTCAC